GCAATTGGGGGGGGGGAGTGTTTTGAGTCAGGGAGGGAAGGAGGGAGGGGTTGGTTTGCTGGGTGGACAGGAAGTGTTCCAGAGAACCCTAGTGTCAATGGGACTGGGGTCCTGCAGGATCAGACCAAAGTTTCTGTCAGTTGTCTTCTTTGTTTGGAAAGAATGTGGCAAGGCCCCCCACAACAGTTGGACGCTTTCACACATGCTAAATAATGCACTAGGATGCAATTCAGCAAGAAGCTGTGCTTTCTTTGAATGCCAAAGCTGGTAGACATCCCTTTAAATAGAAGAGAATTGATAGCAAAGGGGATGATTACCTGCCTTTTGATTGAACAGTGGAAAACAACCATTTACAGGCAATGTTTTTTGCACACTTGGAATATTCACCCACCCCATAAGCAGAAAAGCCAAGTTGTGCTGCTTTTAATTAATTCAGTTGAAGAAGACTTTCCTCTACCTTTTATGGAGTCTGAAAGCTTAACATTGCCTTGCCTTCCTATCCCCACAGCAGGAACCTTGTGAGGTAGGTGGGGCTGAGAGAGGTCAAAGAGAACTGTGACTAGCCCAGGGTCACCCAAGCAGGCTTCATGTGGAGGAAGAAGAGTTGGTTTTTATACCCTGCTTTTCTCTACCTTAAGTAGTCTCAAAGCCGCTTACAATCACCTTCCCTTCCTCTTCCCACAACAGGCACCTTGTGAGGTAGGGTGGGGCTGAGAGTGTTCGGAGAGAACTGTGACTGGCCCAAGGTCACCCAGCAGGCTTCATGTGGAGGAGGAGGAGGAGGAGTGGGGAATCAAACCCGCTTCCGAGTCCATTGCTCTTAACCGCTACACCATACCCTTAACTCCTACACCACAGCACAAAGGATTTTCTGTACTGTCATTAACAGTTGTTCTTTAATGTATTACAAAAGGCATGCAGTCATGTGGTAAAATGAGAAAACACTACGCTTATACCCTGGAAACCTTGTTGATCTCTAAGGTGCCAGTGGACTCGAAGTTTAATTGGACTATTACCGCAGTCTTACTAGACTGAGAGAATGGAGGAGAGGAGGCGTTCTTGGTACATTTAAAATTCCACTGACACAAACACGACAGGTGGTTTTGCTGATACACAATATTCTTTTCCACCTCCGGGAAACTGAGTTGACCACAATACCAATGACCATTTGAAATCCTCAAAAAATTTTTTTCCCCCAGTGAATTTTGGGGCTGGAACCAGAACAGGTAATGATGGTAGTGATAAAAATGTTTAACAGTGCCCTCTTCTGAATGGAGGAAGCCGTACAACCCCGGACAGTTAAAAGACCGCTGATTCGGGGATCCTAGCAAGGTGGGGTAGCTCCCCTGCACAGAATGTTCGGGTAGTAGACATTTCTTACGCGATACGTCTTGGCAGCTCGATGGAAACAAAGGGCAGCCTCTTTATCACACTGGCAGATCATCCTTTGGCACGTGGTTTTCCCGCCTGGAAAATAAAAGGGGCAAGAGTTAGGGTCCATCAATGGTTTGATTTTTATTTCATTTTTTTCTTCAAGGAGCAAAGGATAGCATCCCTGGTCTGTTCCCTCATTTCATCCTCAGAACAACCCTGCAAGGTTGAGAGACAAGAGACTTGAACAAGCTTTATGGCTGAGAGGGGATTTGAACCTTGGTCTTTCCAGTCATAGTCTGACACTATAAACATTGCAAGTGAGCTCTCTTGCCAGGCTTAATGTTTTACCGTCATCGATTTTAACGGGAAGATTTCAAGGTATACCGCTTATTAATAGATATTGCCCCTGTTTAAGTGGAATTATTGAAACAGAGTCCCATGTGTTGTTAGAATGTCCTTACTATAACAATATCAGACAAAGTATTTTATCTTCAATCTTATCCAGCATTATGGATTTTCCTGATGCATATAAACTGTTGTTTTTACTTAACAACACTAGTGACAATATGGCTGATTTCGCACTAGAGCTGCCTTGATGTTGCACCACCATTTGCCCCGATACTATTGGTCAATTTCACACCCGAAGCTGCGGGGCTGCATTTTGACCCGCGGTTTCGCCCGATTTTCCCCGCAGTTTCATGATCCTGTTTTTTGAGGATCATGAAACTGCGGAGGAAATTGGGCGAAGCCGTGGGTCAAATGCAGCCCCACGGCTTCGGTTGTGAAATTGACCAATAGTATCGGGGCAAATGGCGGTGCAACATCAAGGCAGTGCAAAATCAGTGCAAAATCAGCCACTATAACTGAGCCAGTGGCAAAATTTTTACATGTCGACGTTTTTACACGAAGCAATATACTGTAACCTCGGGCTATTTTAACTTGTAATATTTATGTACTAGGGATAAGGCCCGTTGTGGAAATAAATACAACAAGATCTAGAAAGAGGCTCTGGAAGAGTGCTCTGTCTTTGGGCAAACAGTGTCAATTTGCTGTGATGATCTCAGCAGGGTATAATGACAGAGTCCACTGTTTTCTCCAGAGGAACTGATCTCTGCTACCTGAAGAGCAGTTGTAATTTTGAGTGAACTCTAGCCCTCACCTGGAGATTGGCAACAATTGTTACCCAGGATGAAATGGCTGGTTTGGAGGGTGGAGTCTATGGCATTCTACCTGTCTGAGGTCCCACCCCTGCGCAAACCCCACCCTCTCCAGACTGCACCCCTCAAATCCCCAGGAATTTGCCAGCCTGGAGTTGGCAACCCCATCTCCTTCCCAGCTATCCATCAACCTACCATTATCTGCCCCTTTGACTTCAGCTGACTTCTGCCCTCCCTTCTGCTGAGCAGTTGTAATTTTGAGCGGTCTCCAGCCCTCACCTGGAGATTGGCAACAATGGTTCCCCATGAGGGACTGAGTGGTTTGGAGGGTGGTGTCTATGGCATTGTACCTGTCTGAGGTCCTACCCCTCCTCAAACCTCACCCTCTTCAGGCTCCATCCCTCAAATCTCCAGGAATTTCCCATCTGGAGCTGGCAACCCTATCAGGACTGGCCCCAATGTGTTTTCTCCCAAAGCCCAAAATAGGTGACAGGACCAAGCTTAGTTGCCTACCAACAGGCACTGAGGGGAAAGTAGGGTTGCCAGCTCTAAGAAGGGAAATACCTGGAGATTTGGGGGGTCGATCCTGTGGAGGGCAGCATTGGGCGGGGGGAGGCGGAAGGTCTCAGCAGGTATAATGTCATAGGGTCTACCCTCCAAAGCAGCCATTTTCTCCAGGGGAACTGATCTCTGTCATCTGGAGATCAATTGTAACAGCAGGAGATCTCAAGGTCCCACCTGGAGACTGGCAACCCTAGGGGAAAGTCAGCTGCACAGCAGGGGGTTGAAGAGAATGGTTGGATGGCTGCTGGGCCAAGATTGGCAACAATAGTTCCCCAGGAGCAAATGGCTGGTCTGGAGGGTGGAGTCTATGGCACTGTACCTGTCTGAGGTCCCCTCTCTGGGCTCTGTCATGCCTCCCCCTGATGATGACCCTGATGAGGCACCTGACAGCCAGGAGCACGGGGAGTTGACACCACAAGCTCCTGAGGAATATACAGAAGCAGAGACTTACAGTCAGGAACTGGCTCCTGTAGCAGAAATCTCTCTAAGTAATGAGGAGGATAGAGCCTCCCAGGAAATACCTGCACAGGATCAGGCTCTGCTTAATCCAAGTGATTCGCCACCTGACTCCCCCCCAGCTGTGACTAGGCTCCGGAGTCAATGTAGACAGGAGCTGAAAGAAAGACGCCGGGCTGCACGTTCACTCAGCCCTGAGTATTGACAGAAGCTTAACCTTGCACCCTGCCAGTTAACGAGTTAATTAGCTAGCACAGCATATCATCAAGCCTGCTGCTGGGAGGAATTTGTGCTGGCAACTTCGTTGACAGAACCAGACTCCGTGTATCTTTGATCCAGACTCCGTGAAACTCTTGTCGGTTTGATCCTCGGCTTTTGACCTTCGGCTTCGTTGACCCTGCTTTCGTCTCTGCACTTCTCTGGCTTCATTGTGATTTATGGACCTTGAATTCTGGTATGTCTGACACTGGCTTTGGATTCTGATTTGGACTTGTTTGAACTGTGCTGCTTGATTTGCTCGGCTTGACCTCGAACTGATACTGGACTTTGCTTGCTTGCCTCACACCCCCTGGCCCTGCCGTGACAGGCTCCACCCCTCAAATCTCCAGGAATTTCCATACCTAAAGCTGGCAACTTTATCTCCTCCCCTCTCAGCAGCCTCTTTCTAGGCAAAATTCTGTCTTTCTCATTAGTGGGGAGCAAAGCAGGTTACTTCATTCTCTTCGGCTTTGCTATCTGTACAGCAACGGTCTAAGGTAGGTTAGGCAGAAAGTCTGTGGCTGGTCCGAAATCACCCAGGCAGCTTCCATAGGGATCCTCCTGCTGA